CAATAATTTTAGCCCAATGTATTTTAGAGGGAGTCTCTGGGTTGCTGTATGGCCATGTTCCAATTTTAGCCCAATCTTAGAGCTTTTTAATGAGATGTTAAGGATGTAATATGTTTTTAATGATGTGTATTGCAGTACATATGGTTTACTTAAGTTATTTTTATAATTTATGGAGTTGTTTCTGATTTGTTTGTATATTATCTTTGGCATTGAATGTTTGCCACTGTGTATCTGTTGTGAGCCCTCCTGAGTCCCTTGGGGAGGATAAGTAAAGGTAAAGATTTCCCCGGACATTAAGTCTACCTCAGTAGACACCACCAATACCTTCTCAGCTGCAAATGTGAGTAGACTTATTGATCTACTCACATTTGCATGTTTTTGAACTGCTAGGTTGACAGAAGCTAGGGCTAATAGCAGGAGCTCACCTCGTTCCCGGATAAAACTACCAACATCAAGTTCAGCAGCTCAGCAGTTAAATCTGCTGTGCCACCAGTGAGGCGTTTGGGGAGACAGGGAGAGCTATAAATAAAGTTTCATTAATTAATTAGTTCATTCATTCATTCACTGGGTGACCTTGGAAAGCACACACTCTCTCTGCCTCAAAGGAAGGTCATGGAAGACCTCTTCTAGTCAAGAAAGCTCTGTGATACATTTACTTTAAGGCTGCCGAAGGTCAGAAATGACTTGAATTGCAATGCACACACACTCTCTCAGCCTCAAAGGAAGGTCATGGCAGACCTCTTCTAGCCACGAAAGCTCTATGATACATTTAACTTAAGGCTGCCAAAGGTCAGAAATGACTTGAATTACAACTCAATCAGAAGAGGTCTACCACTGCTTCTCTCCAAGGCAGAGAGAGCATGACTTTTCCAAGGTTGCCTAAAGAAGTCACTATGTGACTTTGATCTCTCACAACCCGCACCACTGGCTGTTAGGATTTATATTGTATATGTGCCTTCAGTTTTAATATATGGATGGACTACCACACCAGGGATTCATGGGCTATTCTTCTAGCTTGGAGAAGGTTCTTCTTTTTGGACTACAGCTCCCAGAATCCCCTAACCAGCCTCTCCTTAAAGGAACCTTTTCCCATGCTCTGGAAGTTTCCACCTGCACCATTTGGGGAAAAGGAATCAAAGTCTGATTTTGTAGGTAGTAGTAATTTTATTGATTAGCCCTTAGGCCATATCACAATAAGAAACAGAACAACAAGGACTGTCAAGACCTTATCACACTCCACTTAGTAAGTTAAAATACAACACTTATAACAATAAAGTAAATAAATATGATAAAACGTGATAAAACTGATAAACCTATCAAGCTGAGTATATACATCATATTTCATTATCACCCCTACAATTTACCCCAATCAGCCCTACATATGTGGTTCTCTCATATTGTTTTGCTTAAGTACAGAGCTGTTTTATATGTTATTTTTGGGTCTTGGCCACACATAAAATAAAATATGTTGTTCTGATGTGAGATTCCCAATACATTGTCCGTTTGATATATGGACCAAGGTGGAAGTCTCTCACCTTTTGATACAGTTTGCAATCAAATAATATGTGTGCTATATCCTCAATTTCAGGTGCCCCGCAGATACAACTCTGTTCATTATAAGGGATGCTATTAAATCACCGGTATCTAACCATTGTCTCGAGCTGATCAAATCTGGCTCGAGTGAATACCTCCCTGAGATGTTTTGGTATTTGCATTTTTAGGTAGTTAGCAGTTTGAAAGGTACTTTTATATTGACTCAGCCATTTTAGGTTAGCAGTCTTACTGAGGGTGGCTATATCTTGTGCTTGCTTCGGCAGCACATATACTGATTTTGTAGGTGAATGCACTAGTGCACTTTTGTGTTGCCTGTCCACTTATAGTAGTGGTTCCCAACCCATGGATCCCCAGGTGTTTTGGCCTACAACTACCAGAAATCGAAGCAAGTTTCCTAGCTGTTATGATTTCTGGGAGTTGAAGGCCAAAATATTTGGGGACCCACAGGTTGAGAACCAAGGACTTATAGTAACACCATAATTTGCAATGGGTTTTCTTAGGCCAGGAATAGTTGCCGGTGGCTTTGCAAGTTCTTTCAACTGAAATTGGTATTTATAGGTGGTCTACCATCCTAGAGCTAACCCGGACTGATTCTGATTAGCTTCCAAGATGAGTCAGGGCTGTAATTGGGAAGTCAATAGGCTGCTAGGAAAACAATGCGATTTTATTGTGTTCAAGGCTTTGTACTGTGTAAAGATATTGAAAGAGAGGGTGACCAACTGAGGGAATTATATACTGATGTATTTCAAATTATTGTTTCCAGAAACGAGTTTCAAGGACTTAATGGATATGACTCTTTTAAACCTTTGATTTCTGTTGTTTTGCAGAACAGAAACCATATTTTAGTGTCATTTTCCAACTACTACCCGACATCATCTTTTCCTTGGATAATTATCCATTTCAAATCCAAGATTCTACCTTAGTTTATTTTGAAACAATCCCCTTTAAAGAGGGAATGAGGAACTTCCATCGATGGAGATGATTAGATCCCAACCTTGCTAAGAATCCATGTGTTTGATTAGTTAGCTCTTCATCCTGATTGAATTCTGAACTGGATTGTCTAAAGGACTTCCTGTTTCGATGCACAATGTTCAACTTCCCCTATTTATCTCTTAAATAATGGCAAAAAAACCTCAATCAATGGGAATCACCTACCTGTTGACTTGCCATTCAACAATTGATTGAATAAGTCTACTATAGTTGAGAGTAACTGATAAGATGCCAGTCCTTATCTTGCAAATAGGGTGGCTCTTCAGTTTAGTTCAATTCTATGTACAAAATAGGCTGCCTATGAAGTTTCTCATTTACTACAGAGTGGTCACAAGTCCTGATCTATTTACTGCCAATGAATACCAGTACAATTTTTCCCCTTATGGTAATAATCCATTTAGAGTCTGGGGACAAAATGAATTTAGGAGCTCCAGTTAAACCTACACTTTTGAATTGCAGGATTGTTGACTGTCTGCACTAACCACAGAACAACTGTAAATGGCCTTGGTGGATCAGAGCAAAGAACCATTCTGTAGCCAAATCCTTAGCCCTGAGTACTCAAAGAGGGCCTCCTTTGTTCATCCCCAGTAACTCTTATTCCTAGGGGCAATTGCTTTTGAACATGAGCTTTGATGTCCATTCTGCGCTCATGGCTTCTAATATTTTATGATGGACATAGATACCCTACATAAACATAGCTAATCCCTTACTGCTCAAAGTCAGTGGCCACAGCAGCCTGTTTGTAGCTGTGAATGACCCCCAATTAACTGCACCTTCTGTGAACTATCTCATTTATACCCACCAGTCTTCTTGCATTCTACCAGATGTGTTCAGTAGAGCGTCAGAATGAACATGTAATGAACTGTAATTCAAGTCTTGACTTTTTCTTTGCTTTGTAACATTCTGAGAATGTAGACAAGGTACCCTAGTTGTAGTGAAGTTTTGATACACTTGGGAGAAGTAAATATTTTTGGATTAATATACCCAGAATTGTCAGCCAGCCTTACCAGTAGCCATGCTGGATAACTGTAGCCTAAAAATAATTTCCCTGTCCTCTGTAGGGGTGGCATATAAACTCATGTCTTTCTGCAAAAATCTCCCTAAATCTTTTGTAGCTTACTATATCCATTGGAGCCCCCGGTGGCTTCGATTCCGGGGAGCGGCGTGAGCTTCCGCTGTCAGCCCTAGCTCCTGCTAGCCTAGCAGTTCAAAAACATGCAAATGTGTGAGTAGATCAATAGGTACCACTCCAGCAGGAAGTTAACGGCGCTCCATGCAGTCATGCTGGCCACATGACCTTGGAGGTGTCTACGGACAACGCTGGCTCTTCGGCTTAGAAATGGAGATGAGCACCACACCCCAGAGTCAGACATGACTGGACTTGTCAGGGGACTACCTTTACCTTTACCTTATATCCATTTTAATAAGACATACCATATATACTTGAGTATAAGCCAACTCGAATATGTCGAGGCACCTAATTTTACCACAAAAATCTGGGAAAACAGATTGACATGAGTATAAGCTGAGGATGGGAAATGCAGCAAAATAAAAACAAATACCAATACAATTACATTAATTGAGGCATCAGTAGGCTGAATATTTTTGAATATTTACATAAAACTAATCTAATATAAGGTTGTCCAACTCTGATTAAACCATTACTCTGACCTTCTTCAATATAAATGTGCTTATGTATCCTTCCATTAATATAGTAAAATAATAAATGTAATAAGAATAGGGTAATATAATGGAAGTGTAATATAATAACTATAGTAGAGTAAAGTAATAAATTTAATAACAATAAAGTAACATGATAAATGTTATAATAATGATGATAATAAATAGATTAAAATGATAAATGTAATAATAAGAATAAAATAATAATAACAACAACAAAATAAAATAATAAATAACCTTGACTGAAGTATAAGCCGAGGGGGACTTTTTCATCTTAAAAAAGGGTTGAAACACTAGGCTTATACTCAAGTATATACAGTATATCCTGTTCTAAATAGCCTAAAGCAGTTATGGGCAAACTTCATCCCTCAAATACAAAACACTTGGAGGGCCAAAGTTTGCCCATGTCTGGCCTAAAGGAACTAGGTCATGTTTCATCTTGGAATCTAAGTGGGTTGGGGGTGTTGGATCTGGTTAATACTTGAATCAACAAATCGAAGATGCTGTAGGCTATATTTCCCCTTCCTCTGAGGCAGAAAGGGTGTCACTTGCCCAAGGTCACCCAGTGGGTTTCCGTAGCTTTGAACCTTGGTCTCTAGCCTTTTAACCCAACACACAAGACATTGTATCAATGCTGATTAGCACTCCTAATGTTATCCTTGTTTCTCATTTTGTTGTCATTCAAAATGACCTTCGAGATATAAATGTAAAGAAAGTGGAAGAAATTGCTCAGAAATGAATTTCTCTCCTAATTTATCCCCCTCTTCTGTTTTCAGGTGCTTGAGAACTGCCACAATTGCAACAACTCACAAGGATTAAACAAGCTCTTCATGTCCCAGGTCTGGCCATCAAGTTTTCTGGCCCGCCCTGATTGTTCTCCAGTGACTGTTCCTTCACCCTTCTGCCCCTTCTTCCAAAGGATATAAAATGTACCAGAGCTTAGCTCTTGCGCCCAACCCTGGCCAGTCGGCATACTCCCATGAGTCCAGCAATTTCCTGCATTCGCCTACAAGCCAAGCAGTCTATGTGCCCACCAGCCGGGTGCCCTCCATGCTCCAGAGCCTGCCTTACCTGCAAAGTTGTGAACCCACCCACCAGGGCCACCCTCTGAGTGGCCACCCAGGATGGGCACAGGCAACTGGGGCAGAAGCTTCACACTTCAATGCCAGCAGTCCTCACCCAGCATCGGGGTTCTCCTATTCCCACAGCCCTCCTGGTGGTGGTGGCACTGGACGGGATGGAGGCTACCAGAGTTCCCTTTTGCTAGGTGCCGGTGGACGGGACCAGTATGGCAACACTCTGGTGCGGTCAGTCAATGGATCCTACTCCAGTCCATATCCTGGTGCATACGTCAGCCCTGCAGAGATGCCACCATCTTGGACTGCCGGGCACTTTGATAGCAGCGTCCTGCATAGTCTCCAGTCACGACAAGGAGGCTTGCCGGGCAGGAGACCCACTTTCGGTATGTAGTCCATAGTCAAGAGACACCATTTCAGTTTTGTTTGATTTTACTAGGACTGAAGCAGATTAGACAATGGTACTTTGCAGTGCTGAAAGTGGCTACATAAAGGTCTTGTTGGGTTGTTGTAGGTTTTTCCGGGCTATATGACCATGTTCTAGAGGCATTTTCTCCTGACATTTCGCCTGCATCTATGGCAAGCATCCTCAGAGGCAAGCATCCTCACTACCTCTGAGGATGCTTGCCATAGATGCAGGCAAAACATAAGGAGAAAATGCCTCTAGAACATGGCCATATAGCCCGGAAAAACCTACAACAACCCAGTGATTCCAGCCATGAAAGCCTTCGACAATACAAAGGTCTTGTTGCTTGTTTCTGTTGAACTTTATATTTATTTACTTTTTTACAACACAAGTGCAAATCATGTGGTCAGTGAGCATGTGGTCAGTCCACATGTAGCCCCATTCTCCTACACCGTCTAACACTCACGCTAGAAAAAAATGAACCAAAAATAGTACCTAGAGGGCATGGTGTTGAATTGTAAGTGCTTTGTCCATGAACCTCCAACCTGTGACAGCCAAAAATAGTTTCTAAAAGCAGTGAGAAATGACATATGGTTTCCAGAAATAGCACTTCCGATTGCTGCCAGCCCCAATGATATAGTGTTCACAATGGCCTTCTAATCCTCAGCATTCACCTACAAGCCCAACAGTCCAATTGTGATGAACAACATGGTACACATTTTGAATGCATACTTTTTTAGAAAATGGATTGAACAAAAATGTTAAATCCAATTTTAACCTTTTTTTTAACTCCAAGACTATATAGAATAATATGGTTTTAGTTGCCTATTGGAATCTCAGTGGAAACTGAGCTGATCTTTATTTGAGAGAGAATTTTGTTAAGGTGCTCCTACTGAGAAGGCCCTGGCTCGCATACTATGAACCTAAGTTCTCCTACATGTCACAGGGATTCATAGAATCAAAGAGTTGGAAGAGACCTCATGGGCCATCCAGTCCAACCCCCTGCCAAGAAGCAGGAATATTGCATTCAGATCACCCCTGACAGATGGCCATCCAGCCTCTGTTTAAAAGCTTCCAAAGAAAGAGCCTCCACCACACTCCGGGGCAGAGAGTTCCACTGCTGAACGGCTCTCACAGTCAGGATAATTTCACATTTGAGCAGGTTATCAGAAGCAAAAATTAGTAATATATTTCCTGTTCCATGGCTCTCACCTGTAAAATGCAAGATTTTCATTTAATAACATGGAACCTCCTACAACATATGTCAGTTGAAATCACCGAAGGAGTTCCTTGTTTCGTTCCCTATTTTGAGACACCAGTGGGGATGTTACCATATCTTCTCCTTCCAGTCTTAATTAATCACAAATGAAAGCCTCAAACTATAAAACATGAGTTCTGCAAACCCACCATGAATCTTAAAATGCATACAGTCAAAAACAGTCAGTCGTCAAGAAGTATTGGATGATAGCTCCCATAATCTCTAACCATTGAGACTATTGGGGAACCATAGCTGCAAAGTACCAGGGTTATAAATCTGTCTGGTTTAAAGATGCTGAAACTGGTATCATCCAGTTTGTCATACTTTTCTTCAAGTTGTTCTGGAAATAGTCCATCTGTGTACAGAGTTCTCTATGAAGCAAGCGTTCCAAAGGTCTTTGGACTCACTGGTGTTGTTTATGGAAAAGAAGTCTACTCCATCTTTGATATCCAGTGTAACTATGGAGGATTTGCCATTCGGACTCTCTAAGAACCAGCTGTTTCTGAAAATCCTCCAAGCAGGAAGCAAAGTATCTTCCCAGAACCATGAATACCTACAGCCATTTAGTCCTGCCAATGTAGGAACCACTGTTTAAACAAATACAAGCACCATTCCTTTTACCTCCCTGCCAAGGTGGTACTAATTGATCTACTTCTATTACATGTTTTCTCACTGCTAATAGGCAGAAGCTAGAGCTGGCAGCTGGGAGCTCACCCTGACCTGCAGTTTTGAACTGCTAACTCTCTGGTCAGCAGATTTCCTACAGCTAGCAGTTTAACCTGCTGTGCTACCATGGCACCAAAACTGACTAAGGAATTAGGAATATATATATATATATATATATATGGAGCACACCCCTCCCCCCCCACGTAGTGGGTTAAAGCACTGAGCTGCTGAGCTTGTTGACAGAAAGGTCGCAGGTTCAATTCCGGGGAGCAGCATGAGCTTCCGCTGTCAGCCCTAGCTTCTGTCAACCTAGCAGTTCGAAAACATGCAAATGTGAATAGATCAATAGGTACCGCTAACTGTGCTCCATGCAGTCATGCTGGCCACATGACCTTGGAGGTGTCTACAGACAACGGCAGCTCTTCAGCTTAGAAATGGAGATGAGCACCACACCCCAGAGTCAGACATGACTGGACTTAATGTCAGGGGACAACCTTTACCATATTGATACCTGTGATGAGATATACCAGATAATTGTGATGAGATATACCAGATGTTGGAGTGTATTAAACTATCTCAGCTGTATTTTTCCCCTTGTGGTTTTGATTTATACCCAAAGTGACAAAAATATAGAACTGTTAGTTAAAACTAAACTGGCCTGGTGCATTTTTGCCATAGCTGTGTCCTTTTTCATCTATCCTTTACTACTCTGTAGGATGCTGGTCTTTTTTGGCAGAATTCTGTTCAGAAGGGTTTTGCCATGGATTTCTGTGAGGCTGAGAGAGTGTGACTTTCCCAGGCTGCTAAACATAGAGAAAAACCTTGCTTAGCTGGCATGTGCCCACATTTCTGTTCATTGGTGTCTTTATTGCAGTTTTTAACACAGCTGTGACCCTTTTAGTGAACACATTGTCTTCTGTCTGTCTTTGAGAGTGAGAAAATTCCCCTTTATTGGATAGCAGTCTATCAGTGCTGTGTGTTGAGCATGGCATATAAATGGTAGCGTTAAAAGGAAGATGAAGTATAGCAATTCATGGACTTCTGACCCAGGGAGTTTGTGGCCATTGAAGGAAAATCTTCACTGACTCACTTCGAGCATTCAATTATCTTTGGCAAATGTTGCTTCAAATTGTACCTGATTGAAGGCAACCAGTTCTTTCACATTTACTAGGAAGCAGAGAGTATTAAATTGCAGGCAGATCATGGACTTGTAACTTAAGTGTGATTTGGAGTTTGACTTTGAGATTTGAACTGAGAAGGGAGCAAAGACTCATAATAACCATTGCAAAGCCCTTGGAAATTGATCGAAAACATATTTTACTAGTCTTAATAGCCTTCAGCCAAAGTGAATCTTAATGACGCCAAGATCTAAATTCCAGTTTACATTGACACTTTGGCCTTGCTATTCAGGGATTGAATAATCAATAACACTGTGGTGCATTCCCCACAAACAAAATGGCTGTTTCTCATCCAAGATCTGAAGCCAAACTGCCACTGGTATCAAAGGAACTACTGCAGAGCCATCGCCAATGATACATTATTTATCGTTGCAAACCACTACACTGGCTCTCAAATAAATAATGCATCATTTATTGTTGCATTATTTATTTCAGAGCCCCTGTAGTGGTTTGCAGCACTGGAGACCACGGAAGACCATCTAGGACCCCCTAGAAATCCTAACAGATGATAAACTGCCTGGGATTTCTGGAAGTTGTAAGCCAAAAACATCTGGGGACCCAAGGTTGAGAACCACTGGAGCTTAAGATCGTCTGGGGAGGCCCTGCTCTGGATCCCGCCTGCATCGCAAGCGCGATTGGTGGGAACGAGGGACAGAACCTTCTCAGTAGTGGCCCCTCTGGCTATGGAACTCCCTCCCCAAGGATATTAGATCACCCCCTCCCTCCTGACTTTCCAAAAAAAGGTAAAAACTTGGCTCTTTGAGCAAGCTTTTGAGAATGCAGCAGAATAGATAACATGTAACTATGAATGAGGAACATGGAATGGCCAGACAATGTTACTGGAAAACATTTTTAACAGGATGACATCAGTGACTACATGTTTTAATGGTTTTTAATTGCACTTTTATGAATTGAGCCAATCTGTAACTCGCCTTGAGCTGCTGTATGGTTCCAAAAGGCGGACTATAAATGTCATAAATAATAAATAATAATAATATTATTGCTACCCTATCATGGAAACCCACTGGGTGACTTCGGGCAAGTCTCTCTCAGCCTCAGAGTAAGGCAAAGGCTAGCCCTATCTTCCCAATAAAACCCTGTGACAGGGCCATCATAAATAGAAATGACTTGGAAGCATTCAACAGTTTGTTTACTAAGATTCTATCTCTTGTCCTATATTTGAGAATCTCAGGTAGAATCTGTTTAGGACAATTAATAGCATTTTTGGAAGACTTAAAAGAATATTAAATTCTTTACCACCTAAAATGAGACACTTTGAAACCAGTTAAAACAATACCAATGAATGCCAATGTTGGTGCCAATCAGAGTGCAAAATGAAGGGTATCCTATAACCAAGATGCCATAGCAGAGGCGTCCTTTCCTGGTGTCCCCCAACACTGTATTGGATTAAGAGTGCATCTACACTTGAGAATTAATGAAGTTTGACACCACTTTGACTGCCATGGCTCCATGCTATGGAATCATGGGATTAATAGTTTAGGGAGGCACCCACACTCTAACTCCCATGAGTCCTAGACATTGAGCCATGGCAGTCAAAGTGGTATCAAACTGCATTAATTCCACAGTGTAGATGTACCCGCAGAGATGGTCCCCTCCAAGAGACTTCAATTCCCAAGCAAATATATATATAGGAGAGTTCAATCAGGTTTAATTTCCTGTTTCAGTTTGCTTAGTCTACTCAACTGAATCAATAGATAGTAGGCTGACAGCCTCCCTCTCGGCATGATCATAAAAAAAAAACCCACAATGTGTGCGTATAATAATCACATTTTAAAAGTCACCCAAAATGGTATTTTGTATTACATTGGGATAGGATTACCCCTTAGTGTCATGCTTAACCTGCAGCAAAAAAGTAAG